GGGGGGGGGGGCGCAGCGCCCCCCCCAGCAGCACACCAGATCCAAAGGTGAGCAGCTCGTGCTTGCTTGCTTGCTTGTTTCGTCTCTGCAACGAAAACAACAGGAAAAGCAAATACAAAAAGAGAAAAGAGAACAGCTGCCAAAAGAAAGAAAGACAGAAAGATAGATAAATAGATAGGTATAGACAGATACAGAAGCCACAGAAGCCAAAAGCCACAAAAGCCAGAAGCCACAGAAGCCAGAAGCCAGAAGCCACGAAAAACAACAAAAATTCCAAAAAAGAAACAAAAAAAATCCAAAAATAAATACCCCTCCCTACATAATTTGTATCTGTTTGTATCTGGCTCTTACAATCCTTCCAGTGGTTTGGAGTCCGCACATAGATGGTTCAAGTTGTTTGGATGTCCTAACACATGTCCAAAAAAAAACAAACTTGCCCACGTACTTCCGAGATCTGCGTCCCACCGCCCGATCGGCGTCGCGCACCTCCGTCGTCATGGTCAGACCATGCAGCTGGGAGGTACAAAGATCCAGCGGCGGTGCACCACCCATGAGAGGCAAGCCCGCGTGGCGGATCAGATCTTTCGAACAAAGAATGTTCCGAACGACAAGATCGATTTGGGAGATTTAAAACTGGTTGATAGGATGTTCAAGTGGATCTCGAAAGGTCAAATCCGATGTCTCGAAACAACTGCAAAAACTTGTTGACCAGGGAGAAATACTCCATCTGCGGCTTCTGTTTCAGCAGCACTGTGGCTTCGATCATCAAGCGTGGACGGAACAGGAACACTTGCCTCCAAGACTTGGACCAACCACTTCTCAAACCATCCAATGGCATGCAGAAATTCCAATGACTCATGAACCATCCCAAAAACCTGAGTGTAGCCTTGGTTGACCACCGAACATGAGCAGAATAGACTACTGGGGACGTCAACCGAGCTCCAGGTCAGATACCCACAGCCAACATGGAGACCCACATACCGCCCACCACTACCTAACTCCCTATGCGGGTAAAGTGAAGTCATTTGGACTCTCCTGCTCAGGAGTCAGGAAGACATGTTGCTGGCTTGAGGTTTGTCCCATTACCAGTAACAGTGAATGATGATGCTTCAGTTACAGGGCTTTCTCAAAAAAAGGATGATACTCTTTTACCGAGTATGACTGGTTTCCAGGGCCACACCCAGTGTTCAACACCTTGAGACTCCCACTCTCTAACACGTAGCAAGTAGATGTCCACCTCTCCAAACCCAAGCCCAAGCTTTAGCAGGGCGCTCCTTCGCAGTGTTGAAAGGTAGTTAGAAGCCTCTGATAACATGTACAACATGATACCGATAGAACATGGACCACATGCAGACCCGGCTTTAAAAGAAATAGGAAGTGCTTCCAAGCTCTTAAAAGGAGCGGGGCGACCAGCTCCTTTTGGCCCTCCCAACGCCCTTTTGGCGCTTCACATCATCGTCCGGAAGATCGCCGACGCGAAGGCGAGCCGTGCGCGCCGTGCGCCGTCGCCGGCGGCGAAGACGCCCTCCAGCGTCACGCCCACGAAGCCTGACCGCCCACGAGGTGGGAGGTGCATCGGTTCAAGTTCAAGGCACAGAGTGGAGGGAGATGCAGTACGTTCTCGACATCGCTGAGGGTGTTGACATGTGTTCACGGGTCCAATGGTGTGTGTGCTTTAAATACACCATATTCTATAGTGTCTTATATACTCCATACTCTATACAATCCACAAGTGCAAGAACATACAAGAACCACTTCTGCGTAGTTCAGAAGTATCTCTGATCTACCACCATCTTCTAAGACGTCATGGCCATCTCGCCCTCCGTGCCCCACCAGGCAACCACTCCCTTGGACCCACGAGCACAGCGACGAGCACCACGATGAGCACCCTCTCGTAGGTCGCCTTCTCCCAGCAGAAGTAGAAGATCGCTCGCGGGCACGAAGGCCCACTCAGCTGGTGCGGCGCCCTGCTGGCATTCCACCTGGGCAGACCAGCTGGGTTCGTCTTCCTTCGTACGCGTCACATTCGCTGGCGCAAGAAGCCTTGAAGCTGAATGGGGGGAATTTGGTCAGGGAACGACGGAACTTCCTTTCGCACAGGGAGAGGAAGAGTCAAGGGTATTTTGGAAGTCTAGATTTTGGTGCGGAAGAGGAACGTCTATGAGTCTACTAGCTGTGTGTTTTCCTCGAAGGCAACACAGATCAAGGCTGCAACCAAGGAACTACACCGCCTTGCTAAAGGCAAAAGAGATCTCATGCTGTGTCGGCAAGCAGCAATGGAACTCGGATGTGAATCTATAATATCCTGTACTCCTGGAAACATCCCTAAATGTATGAGTCTGTCATGGGACGTTCACCTAGCATAGTTTTTGGGGACGCGCCTGTCGCTCCTTATCATACCCCTTGGTCTTTCACCCGGGTTTATGAGAGTATAGTAATTGCGGATTTACAAAAGAGCATATGTAATTTTTGGGATTTGTTGGAGGCCCCAGATTCCCCCGGCTGCTTCCCGAATCCCAGCTTGGTGCAGGTACAGCTCCCATCCAAAAGTGGTTCGCCCGTCACGCCCCCTTCACGGGCAAATGAGCAGCATAAGCGAGGGAGTGAGTGAGTGAGTGAGTGAGTAAGAGAAAGAGTAAGAGTAGGAGTAGGAGTAGAGAATAGTAGAGATATATATATATAAGAATAGTATATATATATATACAGTACATACAGAGAGAGAGAGAGAGAGCAACCCTCAACAAACCACCGCTTGGACGCGCCAAGAAATGTTTTTTGCAACGAAACCCTCCCAACTCCAAGCACGCCCCATCCACCCCATCCATTCCACTGCTGACATGGAGCATCTGAGCTCTTCCTGCTCTCAGCTCTGAAGAGGTTGAGGCAGCGCCTCTCAGCTCGCTGCCAGAAAAAAACACACAGACAGGTTGGAGTTACCCCCCCTCGGAACTCTTGGCTCAAACCTACATATGTAAACCACCACTTGCGATTTGAGCCAAGAGCCAGGATGTAGTTCTTTTCCAGCTCAGAAGCGCTGATTGCAGAAGTGCTCTGATCTGTGCTCGGTCAGAAACTCTGCGAAATCACCAGGGTGGTAAAGGAACTCTTGTGTGCAAACGGTCCCAGTCATGTTTATAAATGGTCTAGCAAGCTGCAAGCTTCCTCGATTCCCAGCTAGTTCCAAGGTCACCAGGACAAGTTCCCCGCAGGATCGTCGCTTCTCCAAACACCGGATCGTCGCTTCTCCAAAAACCTGGCAAACCGATCCCAGTCAATTATTTAGAGCAACCCACCCTAGTCAGGCGAGTCTTGAGGTACAAAACCCTGAGACTGTTGCCAACTTGGCCCAGCACTTCTCTTCTTCCTGCCTAGGGCTTCAGCACGCAAACATCCCAGTTTCGACTTCGAAGCGCCCTTCTGTGCCAATCGTGGTGTGGACAAACGGTGACCAATCGGATTCATCCGTCGACCCGTCTGTTTGGGGTGTCTCTGAGTCCCATAGATGTCCAGACAGGTGTCCATTCACCACCCCTTGTGAGTCCTGGTGAATGGACAACTCCATGAAAAACACCATCCGTTAACACCCCCTACTCACAAGGGCTGGTGATACGGAAACACAACTCCAAGCAAGGCCGACTCGAATCCTCCAAAAAAGATTGGCCCACACCGATACCGATACCCCATATCTCTAGAGCAAACCTCCGCACAATGGTCACAGGGGACAAATTGGGAGGTCTCCAAGAAGTCAACCCTTGCAGGAGCATTTCACTTCCTCAGATCTACTTTGGCAAGAGCCGAATCTTCAGTATGTTTGGGTCTTCTGCGGGCTTCCACCAAGTTCTCCATTCCTTCCCTACCATTCCCTACCGATCTATCTACCCATTCAATTCGGCTGATTGACGGGTCAAAAACATGTGCATCTCCAAGGGTCTTTTCTCGAAAGCAACGGACGGCGCACCGACCCCTCGAGCTCGGATCGGCTCGTTTCTCCCGCGCGCCGTGCGGTGGCGGCGTCCTCTCCGTCCTCCTTCCTCGGATGGCCCGTCAACGGCGGCGATAACGGCGCTGATGTTTGGTCGTCGGCAGGCTGGTGGATGCTCGAAAGGTAAAGCACTCTCAAGAATGAATCTTTAGCTCCGAACACAGAAGCTGGGACTTTCCCAAACCCCCCAAAGCACCCCCAAGCCCGCAGGCCCCTGAACATCACACCCAACACCTCTCCCCGCTCTCACCGCTGCGAGCCGCTCCAAAGGGTCCGCGAAGTCGCGCCACAGCGCGGCGCAGAGCTTCCGGAGCTCCGGATCCGACCAGGCCGCCGCCTACGTCGCGGCGTGGGAGCTTCGATGAAGTCGCCCCGGGCGCGAGGCGTTGTGGCTGCTGCTGTTGCTGGTCAAAACTGAAACCGAAGCCGTTATTTTGGAGATGGTTGGATGGGTATTCCAACATACTCCCAAGATCTCCCAAGTAGAAAGGCATCTTGCAGTCTTGCCTCTCACCCTGAAGATGCTGAGCGCAGCACCTCCTCTTCACCGCTGGGTAGCACGGCCAGGATCAGCTTGCGCCAGCCTAAGAAGAGAACAGGGAAACTCCTAAGGTCCAGCAATAGAGCAGAAGTCACTCAAACCACTGGGTGTTGCTCATCCGTATTGGTCATGCTTGGTCCTTTTGCCGGTCTACCATGTACCTAGTTGAACGGACCTGGTCTTTCTGGGGGGGTCCTCCAGTGATCTTCGCACCGAAGAGTCGTCAAGCGGCCAGCACCTTCGATTTCAGTTCATACCGATAAGGAAATATGCACCGACCATGAAACCAAGAATAAATCATGCTTGCTGAAAAGTAAACCATCTTGAGGTGGAGGGCCCTGAAGAAAACAGGGCCAATAAAACCATCGAGCTGCCACCCTCCACAAAAGACTGGGCCGTTGCTGTTAAGGGCAGGGTTCCTGGGCCGTTTCTGGGGAGGAGTTGAAAGTTTCCACTCAGCCACAAGCACTCCACGTCTGCAGACCAGCACCAAACCCCACCCATTTCATCCTTGGAAGTTTTAAAAACATGCTCTGACTGGGGCAGTGACTAGGGCAATGTAGACTTCCTGAATCCTTCAACCTGGCCCAAAGAAAATTATTGTCTTTCCTGCCTACCTCGTTTTTTGAACTGCCATGGTACGACCCCCGCAAAGCCCTCCACGGACGTAGTGTGCAACCAGCCACGTTTGGCCCAACTGGACCAGTCCGCTTCGCCCATCTTCACGAGGCCATGAGCTCCGCCTCGGTGGTGCTCGCCCCCAACCAAAGAAAACCCTAAGGCAACTGAGCGGTCTGAGTCACTGAGGGCGTTCAAAGTATCTACTCTGCTTTTGGAGTGTCAATCAAAATGATCAGGTTTTTAAATGTGCAAGCATCAAGCTAAGGTTCAATGCACGGTTTACTATGCTGTTGCATGGAGGTGTCATCTAGGTAATCAGCTACAGCACTTAATCTTGAGCATCATAGCGACCGCCAGTCGATGAAAAAGTAATATCGAACCATTCGAAAACCATCGAATACATGTAGAATGCCATCATGGGGTGGATGTGGAAATCACCATGGGGTTCCATGAGTCCGACTTCTGCATTTCTCGAGTGGAGGATGTTGGGTGATGTTGGGTTGGATTTGGATGATGTTGCAGAAGGTGCCGAGGCCAAAACCCCGAGAGTGGTTTCCGAAACAATGCGTTTGTGGGGCAGAAACCTTTCCCGGATGCAAAACTTAGGGGACTCAAACGCAAATATTGTCTGATAGAAAAAGTACAAGCGGCAGCAGTAGTAGCAGTAGTCGTCGTCATTTGCAGTTGCAGTAGGCAGCAAGCAGTAGGCGTAACAGTAGCAGTAGCAGCAGCAGCAGGAGGAGGAGGAGGAGTAGAAGTAGTAGTAGTAGGAGCAGCAGCAGCAGCAGGAGTAGTAGTAGTAGCAGCAGCAGCAGCATATTAGTAGTAATAGTCATAGTAGTAGTAGTAGTAGTAGTAGTAGTAGTCGTAGTGGTAGTGGTAGTCGTAGTCGTAGTCGTAGTCGTAATCGTAGTCGTAGTCGTAGTCGTAGTCGTAGTAGTAGTAGTAGTAGTAGTAGTAGTATGCCGTATACCAGACAAGCATCACCAAACCCCTTCTCAATATGCAGCAACGGATCCAGAAAAAGGAGAGGCAAAGCGTGTTGGTCAACTGTTTCTACAGAGCGATTCTTGGTCTAGTTTGGCAGAAAATCTGGTGTATTGTGTGGGAAGACACCCCGTAGCCCAAGCGATTTCAGCCTTCCTTCCTTCCTTCCTTTCTTCCTTCCTTCCTTCCTTCCTTCCTTCTACCAGGTGGGTTCAGGGTCTCCCAATTTGATCAGGAGTTCGCAGACTTTGCAACATTCCGCCCCCAGCCAGTTTAGCTAGTGAAACGATGAGTATATGGAAGGTGAGTCAACAACTTTCAAATGCTTTTCCGCTTGTCCGCTTGTCATGCACAGTCCCTTCCCGCCAACTCGCACCCCTTGTGACCGGGCTCCGGACGCTTTGGCCTTCGGCCATGCACTTGCCGTTTCTTGAGGATCAACTGCCTCCCCACCGCCGCCGCGTCGTTCGCACCAACAGGTGTTGTTTTCTCGCCCGCCGTGAAGGCGTGCGCGGGCGCTTCGCGGGCGCTTCGCGTGCAAGCGTGGTGTGGTTCAAGAAAGAACGATGGATCGCTTCCCAAGACTTCAGAACTCTTGCATGGCATTGAAGCTCTGGTCACCGAGAACCGATCTCGATTTGCTTGGGCTCGGGAAGTAGAATGAAGTAAGCAGTGTGTTGGCAATCCCGGGTGACTTTCCTCTGAAGACATGAAGCCTTGAAGCCTTGAAACCCTGCTGACGACCTGAAGCCTAGTGACGACCTGAAGCCTTGAAGACCATGAAGCCTGGTGACGACCTGAAGCCTTGAAGACCTGAAGCCTGGCGACGACCTGTAGCCTTGAAGACCTGAAGCCTGGTGACGACCTGAAGCCTTGAAGACCTGAAGCCTGGTGACGACCTGAAAGCCTTGAAGACCTGAAGCCTGGTGACGACCTGAAGCCTGGTGACGACCTGAAGCCTAGTGACGACCTGAAGCCTTGAAGACCTGAAGCCTCTTCGTGTCTTCGCGTGTCTTCGTGTCTTCGCAAGCCTTCGTGTCTTCGCGTGTGTTCGTGTCTTCGTGTCTTCGCGTGTCTTCGCGTGTCTTCGCGTGTCTTCGCGTGTCTTCGTGTCTTCGCGCAAAAGTCACAACCCGCTTCTGCCAACGCAATGGAAGTAAGCATCTCCGAATCCAAACTTGTGGGGTTTTCTGTTCTCGTGCTTTTTCCGCTCCTCATAGATTGGCCCGCACGCAAAATTTGATGAATCCCCTGGATTGGCTAAAGCTTCCCTTCTCTCGACCCCACCTGAGTTCTTGCCAAAGTTGGATCTCTGGAAACATTTCGAAGACCTGCGGACACGAGACACGCGAGACACGCGACACGCGCGGCAAAAATGGGCAGGCTTGGCCTAAACTTGGCCAAAAAGAAAAGCATAAATCCCCCCAAAGAAGTTTTGCTTGGGGCAGAGATTAGATTTGATTTTGGTTAGCAGGTTGAACCTTTTCCAGTTCAATGAGTCCCTGTGAAGTCTTCAATCCAATTGAGCTAGTTCATGTCCAAATCAAACCAACAACACAAGAAGTCGATCAAGAAGCTGCCCGTCTGATGCCAGTTTGGACCAGCAGCCCCTGCCCCTCAAAATGTGATTCGCGGTGTTTTGTTCAAGCACCCTGACAGGGGTCCTGGTACATGGAGGATGGAAAAACACTCAAGCTGCTTGCGGGCCAAGCGATGAGGCTCGAAGAGCCCAAAAGGCACGTTCGCTGGGCGTGGTGGATGGAAATGCGTGGCCCAGAAACCAGGGTTACGGACATCCAAGCCACCGGAGGGAGGCTGCAAATTCTTTGAGGTGCCATGGCCAGAGAAAATCTAAAAACCAAACATTCAAAGTCAGGACCCTATTCACCACCTGACCACGGCTCTCCCCTACAAACCAATGCTGAAAATCAGCGCCTGGCCTTGCTCCAGGTCCTTCTCACACAGCCATCGCTGGCATCACTTTCCAGCTGCCTGGAGTGCCCCAGAAGTGAAGAGGGTCCAAGACACGCGAAGAGAAAGGCTACACTCAGACTCAATAAGATAGAAAATGGACAGGGGCGTTCCAGGTCCATGCTGAGTTGGAGTGTAGTTCCTGTTCTTCCGCCCCGGAACCCCAGACACATTAATCACGGTCTCCACACACGTGTCGTACGCGTCAACCGCTTGAAGAAATTGTTTGAGGTTCTAGATGGTTCTAATATATTGTTTCTAATAGCAAACATTGCTACTACTAGTAAGGCACTTGTTACTAGTAGCGATGCACTTGTTCCTAGTAGCTAAAGGGCTGCTCCCCAAAGACCGACCTTGAACCTGACTTCAGTCCTCTTGCTGGGACTCTCGGTGCCACGAGAGAGCTGTGGAGGGGCCCTTCTGGAAAACCAAATCGCGGTCGATCACGTGTGAATCTCCTCATTTAGGAGGTGGGTTTAAAGGCGAATCCCCAGAACATGGTCAGCTTAGAAAGGGAGCATGCGTGAACACCCACTAGGCTCTTTGCAGGTGTTGCCTTCTCTGGGTTTTGGCCGTGTCCTCCACATCATCATGTGTGACTGGTTTTGATCTTTGAGGATTTTCTCATGTGTCTGGTCTGCGAATGTGATGATTGAGAGCTTGAGAGGCTCTTCAGTTCAGAAATCCAAGGACCACAAAGTCGTGTGACGTTGTTTCATGGAAATTCCAAAGCACGTACACCGTGCCTAACCTGTTCATGTTGGTCCAAACTGATCAATCCGTGCCCAGAGGCTGCCCCGTTCGGAACCCGTCCGGAACCCCGCCGGCTGAAGAGGCAGCCGAAAGCCTGGAAGCGCCTCCCCATCATCCGGTGGACCCTATGATGTTTTTGGCATGGAAGGTGAGGGACACCAAAGAATGAGAATCCATGGTCTTCCGTTGCAACGAAATACTCCAAAGCACTCACTTTCAGGTCTTCGGGCTCCAAGTCATACCGAAAAAGTCCAACCACCAACGTTCCATTCACCAGACCTCACCAGAACCTCACCATACCCCCTGTGAAAACGGCCTGCTAGACACGCCGCTGCGACTTTTCGCCCAGGCACGCGGCACGTGCCAAGAGGCACAAGAACTGCGCCCGGTAGCGCTTTGGAGCGCAGTCGTAGGCATTGCCTCGGACGGACGAGAGGACCGAAAAGCCAAGGTTGTCATCGGGGTTGACGGGAAGGTATTTTGGGATCACCCGATGAGAAGAAATATCTCCAGATAGGATCATCCAGGTCTGGCCAGCCTGGTCAGGTCCAGAGGGACATGGGTGTGTATAGGGGAGACCTGCTTGGCCCATTGGGTACACCCACAGGGATGATGGATGTCCCTCCCCAGCGACATCCAAATCCACACGTCTGAAATGGGCGCCGTCGATTGGCTTCCACCCAGCGGCGCAGGACTGGCTCGGTAAAGGCCTGGCGGCGCCCAGGGGCGTACGGGAAAACCGAAGACATGGCGACGCAAGGTACGATCCAGTTTCTCAGTGGACGGTATAGACACGCGGTATAGACCTGTGAATTTGATTGGGTCTCTTTTTGGAACCACCATTGAAAGGAAGAGGGAACAGGATTCAGTTCATTTCAAAGAAGGGTGCCCCCTTGAACCTCTGGGATCACACTCCCCTTTTTGGCTCTCAGACTCCTTACTGGAAATACAGGGCAAGGAGCAAAATCTTTTGCAGTTTCTTTGCCGACTCAATGCTGCTCAATTGTTGTCTGGGCCATACCCTCTTGTTTTCTTTCGAGTCCTTGTCTCCTCCTGCATTGCAACCTCCTCAGTCAACTATCGCTGGACACCGAGCCCGAAAGCTGACTCCAACTTGCAGCTTCAAAAAGGATGGCCAATCAAACACAGGAGATCCTTGGAGATGCACAACCTGTAAGAAACTGCACATTCTATCCGATTCTGCATCTTTGGCTTATGCCCGCGCCCGCCTCCAGAAGCTGTCCTTTCTCGTCCCTCCACTGCGCCAACAGTGCTTCAGTGGATGCTGTCGACCACGCCCAGGTGCCTTCTGGCAGTCCTTGCTCAAAGCGTGTCTCGAACAAGGGAAATGAAATATCTAAAAAAACAGAAAGAAGTAGCGAGGGTGGCGAACTTGTTGATTCCATTTTAGACTTGATCGATTCACACTGTGGGCAGAATCTTTGTCTTTGGTCCCCGCGTGCTTCGGCAAATGAGGCCGTTAGTTGGCTGGGTGCAACCAAAAAATGATCGTCCACTGTAGAACCTGTCGGCCCATGCGGGAAGTCCATGGTGTCTTGGTCAGCTGCGACGAAGAATCCGGAAGGATCTGACACCCTGCTGCAAACCTACTAGCCATGGCTTCCAACCTAATAGTGATGGCCTCCAACCCAATAGCGATGGCCTCCAACCTACTAGCGATGGCCTCCAAACTAATAGCGATGGCCTCCAACCTGATAGAAATAACGATCACCTCCAACTGACTAGCGATAGCACCCAACCTAAGACCTAAGAGCGATGGCCTCCAGCTCAATAGCAATGGCCTCCAACAGGGGTGGGACCCGAACCAAACATCTCCAAACTCTTTTCACGTGAATGTTCATTGGAGGGCACGGATGCCTCGGGTGCATCGCAACCATCCAGTCAAACAACCAGGCGTCGGAGGAAGGCATTGGCTCGCTGGAGTGCTCCGGGAGGCACGAATCCTCAGGAAAACGGTCCAGGTTTGCGAGGCCCCTGCCACACAGGAAGTACCAGAGCCTTTTTTGTCCCAGGTGATGCAAGATTTTATCATTCAACAATACAGTACACGTGGAGCTCTGCTTTCACCTTTTTGCTCCCCCTCCTCTTCTCCCCAATCCCGTATCGCCAGATTCTGGCCCCGATCCGCTGTCAGCCTTCAAATCCCAAAATCCGGGATGTCCGGCCACCCCCAAGCCATCCGCCTTGGGGTGTGAGCGCCAGCACAGCACCCAAAAGCCTGGATGCCTCCGCCAACAGCGCACACTGCGGACGCTTCATCTGCAGCTCCCCTGCGACTCCACGCCGAATCCGAAACCGCACCGGAACAGCGGTGCTTGGCATTGGTCAAAACGACTCATTTTACCCCGAACTGGTGGTGGATTATGACTATCAGGTGGAGTAGTTCATCAGTCGTTGGAAGCTCGGATGTCGGATAGCTGCTGCTTGAAAAGCTCCTCTTTGGCCAACTTGGAAAAAGAAAATGAAATCGCTGGAAGTGTCAAGAAATTTACGGGACATGGCTTGTTTCAATGAAACTCGCATCGATCGGGGTGCCGCACGTTTCATCGAGCCTTTGCGAGAGGAGATGGTGCGAGAGGACGTCATGAAGAGGTGCTACAAGGTGAAGCCGGAGATTTCTCTGAGGGGCTACAGTATCATTAAACCCGGACCCCTGATCCCTGGTAGGTTGACCATGTCTGGTAGTCCATTCTGTTCATGTTCGATCATTTTCGGAGGTCAACCAGCATACCCCCATTTTGGCCCGCAGCCGTATAAGGAGATGTATTCTCTGATGGAGCTCCCACCACCTATAAGGCTCTCCCCAAGCATTGTCACAACTCTCCTCCTGCGACACGTCGAGGATTTAGTCTGCGACTCGTTGACCCCAATCGCCTTCGCTCATGGGATCAGCGATATCAGACCCTCCAAGTCGCCACAAAAGTATAAATGTATAAACCAAAAGAAAAGGAAGGGGGACAAAGGCACTAGTCTGACCCAGTAGAACCTGGTCCTGAAAACCTTCAGGGAGTGTAAACCTCCCAGTCCTTCGTCTTTCACACGGAAGAGGGCACTGAAGCCCCGCAGCACGTTCCGCTGCTGCTCCAGGCCTCAAGTTCTGCACCCGTTCAGATGCGGCGGAGCGCAATGGCGTTGCAGCGCTCTAAGCTGTACACCCGGCCCAGCGGCTTACTGGGCCAATGTTTCTTGTTTTGCTTTCGGAATGAAAATTCACATCCAAATACCCGCAACCTGGGCTTTGCGTCGCGATGAAACACGTCTGAGGCCCCTTGTTTCGCCGGAAGTGCGGACGAGAGAGATGACGCCCCTTGTTTCGGCTTTAGATGATATGTGTGTCTGTGTGTGTGTGTGTGTCAAAGGAAGGGCGCGCCCCGCACGTTTTGCCTGGGAAGGGTGTGGATTCGGGGTAGATTGAAACAGCATTGTTTGAGCCCCTCACTTACAAATATGCTTAGCTCAAACAACCCGGGTCGAAGGTTTGGGGGTGTCAGTGGCAGCGAGCGTGGGAAGAAGCCGGGCCGGTAGGTCGACAATTCCACCAAGACTGTTCCTCGGATCTGACAAAACCTTCCATGAGACCCCTCTTGAGTGAGGAGCTGGCTGTGGATGTTCATTCCATAACAAAAATAGACGCTATATATAAAATGGATAACCACCTAAAATAAACCGCTGGATTTATAGAATGTCAAAACGCTACATGCCCACTTCAGCATGGCGGGGCCCGCTGCTTATAGATAAAATGCTTTGACCCTCTCCCAGGCCCTCTCAGCGGCCCTCACAGACAAAACAGCAGCCTGACAAAAAGGTTCATGTGTTTTGCACGTCGACAGAGTGAAAGCCTGTGCTGTTCATAAAATGTGTTGAACCACAAAATATGCAATCCATCGCTGGTGTCTGCTTCAGAACTTGGTGTTTTACAGAATGTATTGACCCTCTGAAATATGATCCACTTCTTATGGAACAGACCTTTTATAGATTGTGCGGACCTCTGCTCCAAAACCTTCGTTCTATGATGGCCCTCCAGTTTGGGACTATAAAATGTAACTCCCAAGACATTTTGTAAGGGAACAGGATCAACATATTTTATAGCGTCTCATTCTAGGAGGATTCCATGAGTCATGAGTCATCATGAGTCTATGAACACTTGCGTCAAATCATTCATCATATTCATATTGATCTTAGCTGTCGAATCAGCCCTAGGTACTCTGTGGATTTCAAGTTGTATATGAAGTGAAATTCAACCAAATCACTGTCTCCTCTCTGACTGCTGGCCCACTTACAGCCAGTCTCCCAACAGCTACCTAAGGATGATTTGCGGACACCCCCAACTGTGATCAATTGGCAGTCCATCCATCCAATGTGAAGCCTGCCTGATCTTCCATCTTCTACCACACTCACACTCAGCTTCTGCAAAGGACAAAGTCTCCCTGTACAAACGAAACATCGAAAGCAGTTAAGCGCAAATACTTTGACACATCCCCTCAAACAGTCTGAGACTGAAATTACCTCACATCAAGAACCGTTCATCTGAAATCAGCTACTTGCAGGTCTGACCGATCAACGCGAGCTCCACCGCATATCTCCCCGGTGTCTTCGGCCGAGATGCTCTGCTTCAGCTCGTCTTGCGCCTCTTTCAGGCGCCGAAAGGCTTCGCCTGAGGCTCGAACTGTCCACTGTCCACCCGCGCCTTCCACGACAAAAGGACATCTCTCGGGATTGGGGAGGTGGAACATTCCTGAGAAGGAACACATCGGGCAATATGCACGCCTCCATTATTGGTTTGGGGCGGTTGGGAGTGTCTCCCGAATTGACAAAACACGCCCATTGCTTGAGATTGCTTGGAGCTGAAAGTTGGCACAAGAATAGTGCCAATTTACCCCTCAGCATCTGAATCCCATTGGCATCCTTCGCAGTTCGTGCGTTGAACGAATCGAGCCTTCTGACGGGCGCGCCTGCGTGAGGGTGGTCCGGATTCTTGTCAGGGTGCAATGCGCGGGAGAGCTGACCTAGGTATGAACGGATCACGCCTGCTCCTGGGGGAATCAGGGTTCTACAAATCACCCACATCACTAGCTCCTAGCAAGCTTATCCCCAAAACCTGATGCGGCTGCCGAAACATGTCTAATTATCACTTGCACAAACCATCACAAATCTCTCAAGAACCAAAACCTCACGTTGCAGCATCCCTACAAGACCACAGGAAAGCTTCCCACAGCCATCGTTGTGATGACGCCCTGCGGCGACACACCGACCAGCCTTCCGCTGCCCCGACCCATCCCCAACAGGCACTCCCGGCGGTAGGCATAGGCCACGTCCGGCTCGCCAAAGCCACCGTTGGCACCCCCCAGCCGCAGCACGGCGCCCGACTTCAGAGGGGCAGATCCTTCGGAGGGGCAGATCCTGCGGTGGGCAAAGACTCAGTTCGTGTCAAGTGGCAGTGGGTCAAAACCACGAAAAACCGACCGGTTGACCTAGAAAAGGCTACGTGGTCGACCAGGGCTCCAGATTTCACACCGCGGGACAGCGAGTCGAATTCACTACTCAAGCCCACTCTGGAGCCGAGTTCAATGTTCCAAGAAGAAGAGCCATGTTCGTCGAATTGTTCGACATCACAGCCCGCCCAAAGAAAGATGCCAGTTGTTCAACACATCTTTACACCCCGAGTTAAAGAGAGCACCCAAACGAAGAAGTGTCTGGGATTCAAGCCAAAGTTCAAAGGTGGGAACGATACCCGACGGAAAGTTACGGCCATTGGACTTCCTCCCTTTGACAATGGGGGCAGGAATCGCTTCATCCCCAAATGGATTTCTGAAAGTTTTATGCCCTCATATCCGACGAATATGCATAACAAAAAGTGTCAAAAGCATATTCAACACTTGCTGGCTGAACTGAGCACTTGTTGAACACTGTGGTTTTCAAAGGGTTCAGCAAGTGAAATAGCCAAGCCTGCAGGCCAAATGAGTACGTTTCAGGTTGTGGACCACACCTAGGTCTCTCCAAAACGCCCAATTGATGGTAGTCTTATCTTCCAAACCCAAAGACGGGAGGTGAAGTAGTTTGAGGAAGCGTAACCCAACTGTGCAAAAGCACGTTTTCCAATGGCGCAGTCCACGTGCGTGTGGAATTGAATTGTATGAATTGGTTTGGGGTTCAGAAGACACCACTGAAGTTCTTACTGCCCTGGTGGGTAGTTCACCAGGTCGGCCCACGAGTTGGGTCGTTCGTCATAGGGTGAACGTTTCGACTGCGCTTTCCGGCGCCTTTGTGCCGCGGATGTTAGATGTTCGATGCGCAGGTTCTCGCAAGTTTTGGGGGTCCGAACTTGGACACATGAAGTGCTTTGTTGACAGCATTGATCCCAACCGCGACCCCTAAGACAATTCAGACAATTCAATTACACGGTGGGAGAAAAAGGGAATATGTGTTAAGACTAAGTTTGATCAAACGGATAAGCAAAAAGAGGCCCACGATACGTGGGCGCACTGGAAGCATATGGGGAGCGGGGAGGAACTCTGCGAGAAACTCGTCGAACAAAAGCAGGTCGACATCGACAAAAGAAAAAAGGGGGACATGGATCGACATGATCGAAAACTGTGGTTTTCTCAAGCCCTTCTTTTCGTATGATGATGAAACATCCACAAGATCCACATCCTGGCGAAAGATAGGAACACCAATGAAGGCCTTTCCAGCCAAAGCAGTTGGGATGCATTTTCAGCCTTTTCGACTCCAAGGGGCTGAGCAAACGGACGCCCCACTGGTGGCCCTCCAAAATAATCATCGAGCGGTCGTCTCAAAGCAAAACCATATCCCAATCCAACACCAAAAACTCGGGTGGCGAGAAGAAAGGATACACTCTGACGAACACATCACATAGAAAGTGGAAAAGGGATGAAAAGGGTCCTTTGGAAGTCGACTTTCCTTTCCAAACAGAGTGAGCTTTCCATGTTAGTGAGTCAGTGTGTGTGTGTGTGCTTCGACTATACAACCCTAAGCCTTGGACCCGACGTCCCCAGCAGTGTTTTTGAGCTGGAGGCAAACCTTTTTCATTTCATGTGTTTTTGGATTCGGGAAAAACAGAGCGACCCGAACGGGATGCTCTCCGAGCAAAACCCGGAAGTGGATGGGCACCACCTGTTTGGGTCCTTAACCAGGGTCTTCCAGAATCGGAGCCATCTTTTTAGAAGCCTCTAGTAACTAGAAGCTACATGAAGCTACTAGGTGGAGGCCATCGCTACTAAGCTAGTAGCAAGAAGCTACTAGGGTGGAGAACCATCCACGTCACCGTGACGATTTCAGGGAGTCGCAACCCACAGGCCACACAGGCCACTCCGGCCCGAGCTCCTGGCAATCTCGGCCGCTGGATCACCCACCTGGGCGCACGACCGACGCACCCGACCGACCGGTTGTGTTGGTCGTTCGCTACCGAGTGGACCAGGGCTCCAGGCGACAAGACCCATCCCCCATATGGCAAAATCCACCCAAAACCAGGAAAGTCGAAGTCGAAAATCCTCATTCTTGGGGAAGTGTTCAAAGCTCGGTCCACCTGACCGGCTGGATCTGTCCGCAAAAGAGGGGACAGATCAAACTCTTGGCAAATGGAGTCGACCCAAGCTCTAGGTGGAAGTTCCCCTTGTCATCCAGTGAACATTTACCCGTGGCGAGACAAGCAGCAATCGACCTCCTAACATTAAGACAGGGACTCTGCAAACTCCCTTGTCATCTACATGAATGAGCCTGGGTTAGTGAGACCGTGTGGAAACAAACGACGAACACATTCCAGAACACTTACAGACTCCAAAGAGGTCACTTTGAAGGTCCTGGTTCAAATACACCATCACAAATCATTCAAACCTTCCTCGAAAGAAGACGCCCGTGATCATCGCTCAAAAAACCGGCCGCCCTCAATCCAAATCTCACTGCCATCCATGCCGCCAAGATCTTGAAGCTCCCATGATGCGCTTCAACAGCCTCTGCCAAAGCCTCCCGCACCTCCAGCTGCGCGAACCAGGGGTCATCGCCTCAGTGGCCGTAATGCTTCACTCAAAGCCAACCAGCAACCGTGGCATTCCGGGCACAGGTTGGTCGTGAAGATCCTGTCCGAGTGCCCTGGAAGCTGAAAAACACAACGGATTTAGGCTGATCTGCCGTGAAGTTGGGGTGTCTGGTTTCGACCCACATCCAGATTGAAGAGGAGTGACCAATAATCCCAAGGCAATTTCATGCACAGCCTTCACCCTTGCCAGGCAAACAAGACACGGTCGTGCCCTTTTCATATTGGGTCATAGGGTGCATCTGTTGAAAGAAACCATCGACTAAAACCTGTGGATTGTCATAATTGTTTGAGCCACACATGGTGGGGTCTGATTTCTCGAAATGGCACCGAAATCACCTGCCAACCAGTGAGAAGAGCGAGTCAGAGACATCCCCTGACCGCTTTCCACCTTGATCCCAAGCTAACTCGTCTGACAAGGGATCTGACCACATCAGGGAAGAAAATCGAGGCATCTTTCGTATGGTTTTTCTCCACCAGGGGTCTTTCCTCTTTCCTGAAACATATGTTTCTGTTCCAAGACCCCAGTGGACCCGGTCGACCGGAGAACACGAAACCGCCAGGCCACCAAAGGCTTCGACTCCGTCCTGGAGGCCAAGTCGGGTGGGTCGGAAAACTGCCGTGTTACAGGTGGTGACAATACTCAAGGGCTAAGGACGGAACCAAATGGAACAAAAACAAACATTGCCCAAAGTCATGATACAACTCTGCCAATGGGGCCACCACAAGACATGTGCTACCACCACTCGATGTTCGAGCAGTACTGTGCTCCATGGCACGTCTGTCCTGCGGCGGGGGCAACTCCTTCGGCGCCCAACCCACGCGGTGGCTGCAGCGCAAGCGCTCGAGCTCCTCGTCGTCGCCTCCGCACCGCACCACGCACGGCGCCCGTTGGGCAAAACGCCCGCCGAGGTGCAGGGAGAGAATGACACCATTTCGACGGAAGAGTAGAAGGATGTGGATGTGGAGACAATGGAAGTTGAACAAAGAGTATGACGCGTTATGGCATATGTGGACGATACCAGGATCTTTGATGCCCAATGAAAGCTGAGGGTTCGGATTGAGTAATGAGCTACAAGGATCTCTATTCGAAGCTCGTGCAAAGGAGATACGAAAAAAAGAAAATGGTCCTATGACCCATACAGGCCAAGCCGGTTCTGAAAAAGAAACAAGATTTAAGGCACGGGGCGCGCTCCTGAGTGGGTTCCAACCATCATTTCTGTGGCTGCAGGTGTTGATCAATCATCCGCAAGTTGTCTCCGAAGTCGACCATCGGATCTGCAACCCTACCGGGCCCCACAACTGGTGCCTGGAAGTTCTACCTTTTCCCATAGTGAACATTCCCACGGTTGAAGGAGAAGTAGGATGTCATCTGGTGACCGTTGTTACACATTGGGGAGCATTTGATGCAAAGATTCTTGCTCTGAAAGGCACCGGAGGGACGAATGGAACGGGAAACAAAATCGCACTCGTCACCCAAAACATTTGTTCATCTCGGGGTGGATTTTTCCAGTGGGCTGCCCAGAATACCCACGAAAACTGGAGGAATCGAATCTAAAGACATCTGAAAACCACCCTTCTGGAAGTGGGTTGAGTGAGTCCGAACTGTTGCTTTGCCAAGGTGAATCGCCACTGGGCCCCCGAACAGGTGTCCAGTGCCGGTGGCGGGGGGGGTGCTTCGACCTGAGGTGTCAAGCATTTAGATTTCAGGAAGCACCATTCACGAAATCCCATCAGGAAAGTGCATGTTCAGTGTGGCTAGTGGAATCTCAGATCCCATTTTGGATCCTCTACACCCTCCCAACAAAGCGCAATCAGTTCCTGGTGAGCATCCCTCTGGGCAGACTCTTGGATGGTACGAGGCGATCCTGAAGATGATGGCTGATGGCACAATCCGGGCACAATCCCGATTCAAGTAGCTTCGATGTGATTGTCCACCGCCTCTTGCGATTTGCACAATCAAGGGATGGTAAACAAGTGGTGAGGGGGGTGTATAGACCTGACCTGAGTGTTGCACATTATATTTTCTCAGCCTCCTTTCCTACACATCCTACACCACTTGAGTCCTCAGCCGAAGCACGGCCCTGTTCGCTGCCGGCTTCCCAAGGCGTCCCTTTCCTCTGCCCTGAACTTTTCCTTCCGAGAGCCCCACGTTGGAAGGTTCTCTTGATTCAAAATTTTGCCCTCGCGGACGCGTTTATGTACTAGGTTGGGAGACCAGCAACATCGGAGGAAAAAGGCGCCTAACCACATCTCAGTCTGACCAAACAACCCAAGAAAACAGACCGAACACGGCATAGCTATGCCATAAATTGACGTAATACCGCATACATCCGTTTTCCATGAACTTGTGACGCATCGCTGTGTTTGGCGCTCAGACATCTTGGCAAAAAAGACTTGTGGGCACGTTGCGGCAACCCCTGTCGCAAGCATGTCATGAGCTTCAATGCTTTGCGCCTCTTCGATGTCGTAGCTCAAATTGCCTGTGCTTCGCAACTGACCAGGGTCAGAATTGATACAGTACCTCGTTTGCATGGCGATGAAGCATTCAGCAAAAGCATGCAAAAGCACGTGTAGGGCGCCACCTCCACGGGACTGCAAAGCAAGAGGAATGTGGACGAGAAACACACAGAATCGCTCCCGCCACCTTGACAAAACATCGCACGAATGCAGGAATGCACTGATTGCGAAAAGCAAACATAAAGGACTTCAAGATGGCACAGTCGAGGAAGCCAGGACCTTACAGGTGGCAGCTACCGCATTCAATAATTTTGCCTCAAAGGGCCTGACTGCACTCGCACGATTATTTGGGCACAAGGCCGTTGGAAGATTTGGCTTGCAGTCGATGCCGAAAAATACATATTCCGAATTCCTTGGCAAGCTTGCCATACTGCGCACTAAAAGGCATGGAATCGGGCAGCCAGACATGTCTTCGGCAATAGACTTCTCCTCATCTGGATCCCCTTCTTCCGGCAGCCCGGCACATTACAAGTAAATCTTCCTGAGACAACATGACCCAATCACCTAATTTTAGAGGTCTAGTGGCAGATTCTGCAAAGAAACACTAATCTTCATATACAGTTTTTTCTCATAGACGGTGCCTCCTTCTCTTTTGGCGACAATACTGTCCTCGGCATATTGTTCAATGATCCGTATCAAATCCAAGGGAGGAGACTTCAAAACATCGATGCTGGTACAAAAGCCATCTTCATCCCTGCTCTGAGCGGCAAGCTTGCCAACGAATGATTCGTTGGTGACTTGCGCTCACTCATGATCCGCTTGGTTGGTGCACAAACAAGCTGAAGCTGTCTGTCATAGTTGGAGCCATCAGTTGCATCATACGCTCATACCTTCGCGGGAAAAGCAAGCAGCAAACAAAGCATACAGCTGCATGGCGGCGGACCCGAAAAGACAGAATTGCCATGCCAAGTCCCAATGTGAAACATCCTTCTGCCCCGTTCAGGGTAACTGGAGGCACTAAGAGCATTGCGGCCTTCAAACCCTTCTAATTCGGCACTATGGCAATGCTGGTACGAACGCCGATTGAAGGAGGAACTGCCTTTCGTCTGAGTGTGCAGATAGCGAGACAAGACGGTTGTTCCGGAGCACCTAACAGGCTGGGGCATTGAAGGCATGGCATGATGAGAGCATCACAAGCTTCTCAGATTCTCGGGCTTTCACCCAAATCATCACAGTATATGGTGCTTTCACACTTTCACACGAATCTCTGTAACCCACATTCCATAGTTGCAACCCGAAAGTTTGGGTCAGAAAGCCTCCAGACTCCGAAAGACTCCGAACTGGATCAGTTGCCCACCGAATGAAACAGGGGGGACGGTGTTTCTCGTCACGATTTCAGGCTTCGACTTGCCAGCGAAAACAAATCATGTTCAACAAATTGAACACTAAATATTCAGGAACATGTCTATATATATATATAAAGATAAATGTATATATATATATAAATGATAGATTATAAATGCAGCTATAAATGTGTATTGTACTACTACGCACGCGTGCACATTTTCAGGCGAACTCATTGCCCCAAACTCTGACCAATCGAGTCATTTGAGAACCAAAGGACATCATACAATCAGGCGCAGTTCGACGACACGTTGCTGTCGCAAATGGTGCCTGGCTGCAGCAAACAAATCCGCTCGCACGCAACACGGATTTCGCGCACAGCTGCAGCTGTGGGACCAGTCTGAACTGGAATTGCACAGCTGGCCATTGTTGAGGACCCAATCTCGCAAGTTGTGAAACTCACGAGGAGAGTGAAGAGGGACTGGGCGAGGACCACAAACCGGAGAGAGACAAAAAGAACAAGAAGCAGATGAGTCCCCATAGACAGTGGCGTCAAACCTTCAGATGATCCTTTCAGATATGTTGAACAGCTGGAGCAACCATCGGTTTGCGCTGTACTGCTATGCCACGCGCGGGGTCCGAGAGCCCGATGCCTCAGGCGCGGAGTCTCGGAACCTCCCAGCTTACAGAAATGCAAAAACCTACCTGACAGTCACCATCTAGATCATCGGAGCAGGCGCGTCCAGGGCCCCTGCTCCATAGCACTGCGGAAAATCCTGGAAACTCACGTGCTCGGAAACAAGCTGAGATCAAGCCAGAACGGGTGCTGGTCGGGCGAAGTAAGAAAGGGAGACACTGAATAGACACCCTAGTCTGGCAGGGCGCCGGGCTTGGTTGAAAGATTGTGATGTTATCTTTCTTTGGACTGTGATTCATGTCTTGCAATTTTATCAACCCAGGGCAAAGTCAAGCTTTGCGGCAGGCATCCAAATGGATGAACGAATAGGACCGCATTGATGAGTGGCTTTTTAAGCTTCTGGCTGTTCTATCTTGATGGTATTGCCTGGTTGAAGGGAGATTGCATCAAAGACCGGAGGTGGCTTGCATTCAACTCCCCTCGAAAGGTGATCCGACTGCGTCCTTTCTGCCAAGGGTCCTCTTTTTCAGACTTCCCTCGCTCCCAGAGCACTTTTCCACATCTTCGCCTGACCCAGAACCTCTTCCACGACGCAGATGGAAAGCCAAAGCTGCAGGCAGCAACAAAACGAACCGCGCCAAGCATGCACTCAACATTGATCATGGTCGAGTGGCGTGATGTACAGTATCACTCAATCTTGCACCATCCGCCGCCATGGAAGTGGAAATCCCTGTTAAAGGAAAACCATTCTCTAGTCGTTGGAGGGTACCATCCACCTGCCGAGGCTCCCCCAGGACACCCCGGCACCCTGTGGGTGCCCCTGCACGCTCGGGCATGTGAGGTGGCGAGCTGGGCGTGGGCTCATCATTGCGAGCTTGCGACAGGAGCCTTGGCTTTTGGAATGTCTTCGATCTTGGAATGTCTTCGAAAAAAACATGTGAAACAAAGAACAACAAAAACAAAGTTGGTGTGACGCAAACATCTCACCACCTCGAATCTGTATTCCATCCATACGAACCCCAGGCCCTTGTGTGTAACCCTTTTCACTGATTCGTAGAATCAGGAGCCGCTTCAGGATGCCGGCAGTCACTGCTGGCAGCGCTTTAGTACCTGAGCCAAGTTGGGCCAAGCCAAAGAAGAGTAGAACCTGTCAGAGCCATCTTCCACTCCACGTGGACGAAGTTCTCACTGATGTTACGTTCTCTCTGATGCAGCTGTCCATCGATTTCTGAAGGCGTTGTCTGCACTTTGGATTCCAAAGATTAGTTCGTTGGAATGGATCATCAAGAGCCTACCGCCGTCCAGTGTGATCCTTGAACAACCCAATACTCCTGGCACTGGTTTCACCACCTCGTGGCCCTGTGTGCGCACGCTTCTCAGGTGGAAGATTTTGAAGAGACTTCAACGCCATCTCCTGCGGAGTCTCCAGGCTCGAGTCTGCATGGATCATCTTGACTGAGGACTTCAAGGCCTTCTGGCAACCTTGGAAGGCTTCCATTTGGAGTGAAACACAAAAGTAACCTATGCCCAAGCGGCCAAACATCCCGGAAGGGCCGCCCAAACGCGCTCGGATGGCACTCCTCGGCCCGCTGTGCCAGCGCCGTCCTGCAGATGAAGTGGAGTGCGACTCAGCAACCAGGCGAGGTCAATGCAGCTCTTTAGAACCCAGTGGATCCTCGGCTTGAACATGAAAGGGCGGTATTTGGACTCGAGGTGTCCAAATGACCGATGACCGGTCTCGCGAACCACGTGAGCTCAAAGGTGGAGCACCGTTCCCCACAGCGCTTTCGCCGTTCGTGTGAGAGCAGGCGCCTCTCTTCATCACTGAGAATCACCTCCACCTGGCGTCGTTGGCACACTAAGTGGGAAACAGCTACCACATGGGTACCACCCGAAGCCACGACGGCCATACAATCACTTGGAACCCAAACCCTAGCCCTAGAAGTCCAGATCGACTATTTGGGGCACCACCAAAATGTTCCGGAAATTCCCTTTCACTCTGTTTTCACCCACCATCAGGCCCTTCTGAAGAAATGGTCGACTCCGGACCTTTGAATTCTCAGGGGTCCAAACAAAAAAGATTTGAGACTCGAGACACTGGTGCATTGCCCAGCACAAGCCTCACACTTCTTGCCCACAGGCGGTGCAGCCAGCGGTGCAGCCGGCGGTGCAGCCAGCGGTGCAGCCGGCGGTGCAGCCAGCGGTGCAGGTGGCGCTGGTGCCCGCGCCGGCGGTACAGGCGGCGGTGCAGTTGTCATCGCCTCCACCTGGCCCCACAAGGACCCTTGGACAGCAGTGGGAGGGAAGGATGTTCTACCTTTTCCGGGTGCGTTTTGCATGCCCCAAGTGGTGTAGGAATTTCTCCTTCAGCAGGAATGCGTTGCAAGGATTATGTATATAGTATAGTGAATTGTGTATGTTTGTATGGATGGATGGATGGATGGATGGATGCATGCATGCATGCATGCATGCATGCATGGATGTATAGTAAAGTAATTACATATACATACATTCATACATATATGTATATAATAGTGTAACTCCCGTGTTGTGCAAGTGCTTTTGGTTGTGCTTCCGGTGCTGAAGCCCGACCTGATCATCACTTCCCCACACCTGTCCCCCCGATGTCAAAGCAAAGGAAACTGGTTGCTAGTGGATGTTTAGAATTCCAAACCCCTGAATAATGTCAAGATTATAAGACTCACTGTAAGACTAGAAGTGACTATAATAAGTATATTTATGGTAAAGTCATTGCACTTCCTGCTGCTAACCAGTGCAAACTCCCCATTCGGCACTCCGTTTCTCTCGGTTGTTCGATGGAGTCGGTCGTTTCTCCGGCGTGCTCCGTCCAGCCGTGCCAAACACACCCCCAAACAGCACGTCCGGGTCGGGTATGGTAGCCAGTATGGGTGCAGTGAGTTGGATGGTGAAGTCACCGTGGCCCACGACCTCGACCTGGTGGCCCACCCCGTCCGTCTCAACTGGGCAGCCCGGCATTCGCACGTGCAGCGGCCAGGATCTCCATGGGTGACTATGTCATCCAAATGCACCACGGCCAAGGGGTGTTTCTTGGGATTTACCTAGCTGGTGGGAAAAGAGAGGTTCATCCATGTCCGACCCAAATGGGTGAAATGTCCGACCTTTTGAGACAGGTCCGGTCGATGCTGGCGAGGTCCGGCTTGGGCCCTGCACCGCCACGTTCTAGAGACCCAGTTTACCTGCGTGGCCGTGGCCATCGATGCTTGATCTGCACATCGGTCCGATTCACGGCTCCCTTCGTGGATGTCTCGATCTCGGAGTTGTGCGGATGATGTGTGATGCAAATGTCTCTTCTACTTCAGATCTTTTTAAGTCGTCTGATCACTGTAATCCTCCAATCAAAGCACCACCAACTTTGTGCTGGCTCTTGCTCACACCAGTCGGACGCGGGAGATCTAATCTCTTCATGGTGCCGAAGAACAGCGAACCCTGTGTTGCTATGCTTTATATAATATTCTCTGCTTGACTTTCGCCATCTGCTGGTCCTTCCGCTGGACGTTGCCATGGACCGTTTCGAAGCCGCCGTGGCCGGACCGGGATCTTCCACCCTACTCGTGAAAAGGGGTTCGAACTCCCGGCAACCAAGAGTGTACTGCTCACCGAACATGTTTTGGACATCCCCTGGTTTGTAAAGGAAAGCAGTCTTCCAAGGGACAGTTTCCACTTCCATGCGATGTGTTCGTCAGAGTGTAAAAGACGCCAAGCCCTGTGCTCACCCTCGTTCACGTGCGAAGGCATTGACCAAGTGCATTGATTGTCAGACTCGTCCTTGGATGGGGATCATACCATGGATGGAGATCATGCAGCCTTGCTCCTCTCCTCTCCTCTCCTCCATTCAGCAGGGTGGGTCACATGTGCAGTGCTCACTTTGACTCCGCCACTCTCAAGCCATTCAAGTCTCAAGCGAAACCTGCGAAGGGGAACACAGGCACACGGTTTCTGCAGCGGAGCATCTCTTGACTGGGCCTCGAAACAACTTTTGAGAAATAGAAAATCACGATCCGTTTGCAAGGGCAGATACCATTCTGGAAGTTCTGGAAGGTTCTTCCTTCGAAGAAGCCAAACCTTCTCCACAAGATCGAAGAAAGCCAAAAGATCCTCTTCGCGGCGTCGCTTGGCAGCTTCCCCTAAGGTACAACGTGTTCGGCCGCCTCTCAGACCCCTCCGATCCTGTCCACCGACCGGGCTTCGGAGCTCCGGGGAGGGGGGAAGGACCAGCGCGGGGGTCGCAGCTGCCCGGAGGAAGCAGGAGTGAAGTTCCGAAAGTCGTGTTGCACCCTAGAAGTCCAAAGACAATACTTGTAAAGGAAATTCTTTTTCAGGTTCCCTGAAGACCATTCTTTTTGGAATGTTCCTCGTATGGGAACACACGTCGTGGGAACGAGTGTGATGTCCAGAGCCTTCAGAAACTAACCCTGGAGCTCTTCCACCTAACAGAAAAGGCAAAGCGACAGAACCTCCTTGCTTACTGAATGCACTTTCCGAACGGGTACAATGACAAAAATTACAGTAGCCCAAATCCTGAGCGCAAGAAACGCATAAGCTGCCGTCTTCAAATTCCATGACCCTTTTCAAACTGCAAAGTATTTCATCCATTTCCCAATCCCTCCCCCTCAAAACAGCCCCCCGCCTAGAGGTGAGTCAAGGAGGTCTGCGCCTGCGACTTGGACCGGACCACGTGACCAAAAGCCTGGACCCACCCGGGTGACAAGTGCGGTGCCGAACGTGGTGACCCAAAGACGCAGAAGGTCGTCCTGGTCGAGAAGGTGAAAGGGAAACCCCCTGAGGAGGCACGGACCAGAATGCAAGAGATACCCAAAATAAGGAAAAAAGGTTGATGAACGAAAGGACCATGTCAAGCCAGTTCATCCAGGTCTCCCCAACCACAACCCAGGCCCTGCGGCTCCCTGCGGAGCCTCTCGCGCCAAGGGCTCCCAGGCAAAACGATGTGGGGCCGGCCTAGTCAAAGAAGATGGAGGGAAAAGTCCACAATCTGTGTGTCACATCTGCGTTACTGCATGCTGCAGGATCTGAAGAACCGTGAAACCAGCGACAGTCTTCTTCAGGTCACTCAACCATCTCAGAGCCCTTCGGTTCCACCCTGCAGGCTCACGATCCAGGAAAGCCTAGGAAAACCCTGAAAAAAACCTGGAAACTGCATGAAACAGGCATGAAACAGCTGAACTTGTTGAACCCTTTCCAAGAAGTGACATCCTCGCTCCCCGCAAACCGACCGACCCCTGCCTCGCCACTGCCCCGAGCCGACTTTGCCTCGCGAAAATGGATGTTGGCCACAATGTATCTATTGGGGTCACCAGATTACTTTGGCATGGATGAAAGACACTCCTGCACCAGGGACAGCGCCCTGCCAATTCTTGGAACGGCACTATCCAAGCCCATTTTGGTATTACACTGGCAGTGGCACGTAGACCCCATCCTACGACAATCTCCCTGGATCCAATGGGCTAAAGTCCTCGTAGCGATGCTCCGGCGAGGGCTCCTTGATCGAGCAAGCTTGGGTGGGTTCGCCAGATGTTTAATCACCGAATAACCTGGTAAAAGTTCATCCACTAAGGGATTCTTGGTAAGAACTTAATTGCATAAACCCAAGCTAAAGCCGAAAAGGACACAACCGCGCGCAGCGCGCGACAGTCTCGAAGAGAACGCAGACGAGGGAGGGGAGCCCCGCCGCGGTGACAAGGAGCGGCTGCGGGCGGCGGCGAGCAGAGATCCTTCCTAGGAGGCGTCGGGAGGAGCTCCAAGATTTGGAGGGCTCAGTTTTTGAGAGGACCCTTTTGGCCTGCACCGTGCAGATGCCAGCAGTGTCTAGTGAGTTGAGAGTTCTGTACTCTTACATTCTGAGTTCTACACCAGAAGGAGTCAAATACGGGCGATGAGCAGAGGTGAATCGAGGAAAGTCCGATCAGGGATGACCAGACTTCTCAAAGTATCTCAAACTACTCTCCTGAAAGACTCATGGAAGTGGAAAACCGAGAGAGTGTATATACCAGCAAACTCAACATGTTGGACTTCAGACTCTATCGTTCTTCCAAGTCCTGGTAAGTCTGCTGCCAAGCATCGTCCACGGTATCCCTTGGGGATGACACTGGAAGACGTGCCTCAGGTGGAGTCCATCCAGGTACAGTGTTTTTTGATGTTTTTTGGGGTCCCCTCATGTCAGCATGTCCGAGAAAGGTGTTCGAGAGGTCATCCGTCTTCGAACGGGGGCGACGTTTCTTCGTCATCGACCCATCGACCCATCGCCATTGCGTGACAAGGACTGTGATCATCCACGGACTCGTGCGAACTTCGGAGTTCAAAGAGAAGATCGATCGGAACCCATCGGCGGAACTGCGCAGGGAGGGGTTCGGTCACACATCGGTCCTGTAGCTGCTAGCTAGATAGGGAGACCTGCGCAACGACCCCTTTGGTTCCACATTCGGATCAAGGAAAATACACAAACCCTTTGGTTTCAAGATCTCCATGGATCTCCCTGTTCCACATCTGGATCGAGGCCCGGAACCGAGAACGATCCAAAACGACCATCACCTCGGTCACCTCGAGTTCTGTTTAGGATAACGTGGTAACGCTAAGTACAACCTAAACCAGCAAGTAAGTGCGCCAGGCACTTTACCGAAACCCAATCGACCCCTCCAATATTGGACCCAAAAAATATGTCCATACTCGGATCATACATCATCAACATCTCCAAAAAATAAGCATCAACACCTCCGCGCGGCGCTTGCGTGGTCTGCGCATCCCGGTGCTTCCACCCACGTGCCCCACGGACCGACGGACGAAGCGTGCCTGGTGGGGACTCACCGGTGCCACCACCTCACGAGACCCGACGGCACCGGTGGACGAAGACCGACGACAAGACCAGCGACTGAAAGGCTCGGAGAGAGCATTGACAGCGGTAGTCAGTGAACCACTGGGAAGATGTCGGACGACCGCGGAAGATCCCCAATCAGGACCTGGAATTCTTCTCCGTGATCCGAAGCAAAACCAGCGTCGGACCCTTCCGCCGACTCACGGAGTTGTCGTGCCGTCTCCGTGGTGTCGAGCGTCTCGCTTGGAGTTTCAGCGGTGGATGTTCCTCTCATGCTGAAGAAGGCCCGGAGAGAATGTTCCAGCTTCTGTCATAGGCTATAAGTCACTACAGTCACCTTAGACTTGTTGGTTAATAATCCAAAGGCTCCAATTTGCTTGAGGGATTCCCAGCCCCTCCAAATCATCCAACCGACATCTGTTCGCCGTTCAATCTTCTTCCAACCGCTTAGACTGAGCTCACGTCACTTTGAACACCAGTTACCACTCGCATCAAATCGCTTCCGTCGCCAGAGCGAAGCAATGGGATTTGATTGTTCCATTCAACCGGAGACTTTGACCGTCTTGACCCTATCTGGCCCTATCTGGCCCTATCTTTCAATCCATCCGAAACCGATGTGTGAAAACCAAGGTCGTCAGCGAAAAAGGACGCAAAATCTCACCTCCGTCCTGAAAGTCCGGTGCGCCGGTGGGGCGCTTTCACCCCTCAAAAGGATCCAATCGATTAGAAAAAGAAAGTGTTTTACGAACCACCAGAATAGGGAAGCCAGGAAGCCTGCTTGTTCCCAGGTTCTGCTGGATTCTCTCCATCTGATATATCACAGTCTTCCACATCACGAGTGACGGGATTGCGAGATATCCATGCTCAGGAGGGCACAAGTCTCAAATTCTTATGGTGTCTCAGCAATCAACTCATCCTATGGAACTTGTGACATTCCCCAGCAGGTCAAGGCTGGTCATACAAAAACTCAATCAGGGCAAGGACCAGGTTTTACTTGGTCCTTGGACCGGTAGGGTTTCGAAAAGAAATCTTTGGTTACAGTTTGGTTCCTCTTCCAAATCTTTATCGAAACTTGAGGCCGAGGGTAGGTGACGAAAGCTAGCAGGGGTGCATTCGGACTGGTGGGACATCAAGCGGAGTGAGGCAAATGCTCATGAGGTTGTGAACATGTAAGACACACAAACAGCAATGACACAGCCAACCTTAGAATTGAAGTCCCCGATAATTAAGGAAGCGTGGCTGGACTTTGCCACACTGTTCGATGCATCCGATGTGTTCACGAACCTGTGAGCTTGTTGAATCTGTTGCGCTGTATCCCAAAACCTCCACGGAGGAGTTGAACCAGTGTGGATGCCATAAGAGGTGCCCAAGAGGTGTCCCAGAGGCAAAACAAAGCTGCTTGCATGATTTGTTTGGTTTCTTCTATCGATGTCGATGTCATGAACATGTGAGCTTGTTGAATCTGCTGTTGGATCGTCATGTATATGTAATGAGGGACTGAAGAAAAGCAACGCAGCATCATGAGCATCACGGGAAGTCACAAACCAGGCGTATCAGATACACCTGGCTTATGTATGTTTGTTTGAGCATCTTTGTCGAGTGAAGTGTCAGCCATATGCACTGAGATGCCGAAGGAAGCTCAAAGGCACGTGTATCTGATACGCCTGGTTTCTGACTTCCCGTGTTGCTCATCATTGAAGCCTTGAACCCTCGCGTAAATTTCATGTTTCATGCCCCCCCTTCCAAACTCAAACAGTGGCCTACTTCACCTGCCACCTAAACATAGCACTATAGCACGTACCGGAAGCGTCCCAGCAAAGAAGTTGAACCCCCCCTACACGTGAAGTTTTCACGTGATTCATGATTCTCGAGGCTGCGAGCCCTTGACTTGCTAAAGCAAGAGCAACTCCAGCTAGCTGATGCTAGCTTTCGTGATTTGGATCCATCCTCTTTCACCGTCCCTCAGATCCACTTCATTGGCCTGCTGGATGCCCCCCAATCCTCGGCACCCCCACCGACTGCGATGTGACCTTCCCACACTGAGTCGCCAGGTTCGTGCCTCGGTCAGCTTGGGAAGTGGGAAGGTCGAATCAAGGAATGACCACAACATACCACAAGCAGGTACAAGTTGCAACTGCTCAAACAATCCCAGGTTTCCAGCTGCTATTGTACCTTTATGATCTTTGTGGTACACATCCAAAGAAGAATTTCCCGGACCTGGAGGCCAATTTCCAAGGCCTCATTTTAGCGTTGTCAACGGCCACACAATCAACAGATTGAATTCAAAGAAAGACAACACACACACAAAAAAAAAAAAAGGAGCGCTTTTGGCCAGGACACCGGCCTACGGCACTCCCCCTTGCCCCCCCCCAGCTGCCTCCGGGAATCCTCGGTGGCACCACCTCGGGACGTCTCTCGTTCGCGTCGGGGCGGAATCGTGTTCGATGCCGTGCCAGAGAGCTGGACCCAAGCGTCCGTTGAGACCAGCTGAAGCCGGGGGTCTTGGAGCTTCCAGGTGCACGAAAACGAAGCGGAGACAACACATGAACGGCTTGATCGGGATGAAATGTCTGAATGGATGAAGTCAACATGAAGTAAGATTGCAGCTCGATGTTCTTGTAGAATGTAGAAGTCGGTGAGCGATTGGGATTCTCTGCTAGGATTGTGTGGCAAATCTGGGGATTCCAATTCACATGTTCAGGTTCGGGTATTTCAAGGGGAGTATTTGGCATACATATACAAATAATTATGTTGCTTTTACCTCCTCAAATTGTGCCATTCCTCTTCTGATTGTCCGGCATTCACATGCCGACCTTCAACGATTGGAAAGTGTCCGGTGGGACTGCCGAGGATCTGTTCTTCAATCAAAGCACACCATGCGGGAGACATCGAACCACCGGTGTCCCTCAGGGACGCCCACCGTTGCCCCGCAAGGCACGGAGGTGTAAGGAGGCGTCGCAAGGACCTGAACACGGGCGGCGTCGGCGTCAGCGCCCCAAGAAGGTGCCAATCCGTTTGGGGAGCGAAGGAAGCAAAGCAACAAGCGAGTGCTAGGGATGGACGAAAGTACATGGGTAGCTATCTCGGTAGCTCGGTAGCTGAAGAAAAATAGAAGTCTGTTGTGCGGTGGTTTGGAGCTGAACAGGCTGTTGAAATTTTACGCTGCTTTGAACTCCCCAGGTGTCGCTCCAATACTTCTTGGTGTCGCTCCCCATAGGCCCAATGTCCAAACAATCAGAAGATTCAGCTCGACGAACCACAGACCGTGGTGTTTGACGCCAGAGCCACCCGAACACGCGAGGGCAGTGTACTTCGCATTGGAACCTGCAGAGATCAGCAATGGAACCTGTAGTGTGGGTGGCAAGATCCTCAACTTGTGGATGTGCCATGAAAGGCCTGCACATCCATTGGGAATTGATGTCCAGTCGTTTTCTGCAGCCGCTCCTCTCCATGGATCAGTCCCTTCCCATTCTGTCTTCGAAACCTTACTGGGATCTGTAAATACACTGTCGCCGTACTTTTTTCTTCGGGCACTGGGGCCCGGGATGATCTATCTTGGAGCTCAGGAGCATCATCGAGAAACAAGCGGGTCTTTTCAAACCTCTAAAGCTGTCTGGGAAAAATGAAACTGATGGAAGCAAATGTGTCCCACCCCTGGAGTGCAAATGGTCCAGTGGAGCAAGGTTATCCATCTTGACAACATGTTTGATACCGGTGGAGCACAGTCCCTCAGCAAAAAACTCTCCTGAGATTAACATGGAACCCCAAAACCACTGGTATTTGGAAAAATGGTCGAAACCACCGGTCAATTCTCAGGGGCCACTGGGATCGTCTGCTGTGGGGGATCTTCCACTGCACCAAAGGCCGCACCAAAGGCGATGCTCAAAAAGGATCCACGAGCTCTTTCGGGGAATGGGAACATTCCATGGCTATGAATCAAAAGTCTGCATGAATTACCACTTTCTGAGACACTGGCACGACCCGGCTCGACTCGCCTGTGGAGCCATCTGCCCTGAACGGCGAAAGCGGCGAACGACCAGGCGAGCACTGGGCGGAACAAGAACAGCCGCGGGCGAGCCTGTGTGGCTTTTGGGGAAGTTTCTGGAATGGAAAGGATGGGTCAGTCCTGTGGATGGGAAGTTCAGGACATGAATTGGTTCCTCTTCAGATGCTAAAGATCCTTGCCTGGAAGAAGTTCCTGGCTGGACTCCCAAGTGGCCGCCTGTTTTTCAGAATGGGACGATATTCCCACCAAGTATATACTGATTTTCGAATATATAATCGATGCAAGTGAAAAACCACCTGTGTGTAGAGGAGTTCATGGTCATCGAAAGGGCCATGCCATCCACTTCCATGATGATTCCAGAAAGTGTACAGTGTAATTACTGCTCTTTGTTATGTGTTGTCCTGCAGTTCTCGTCATCCACTCCCTGAGCACAGGAAGATCATCCATCAGTACATGGCTGACACTCTGGCTGGGAACACGTGACAATCTGAGAGGACCAAAGAAAGGACCTAACCACAGATCCCTTCTCCGATCCTCCGTTGCTTGGTGTTCAAGCGCAGCGTCACACCCATTGACCAACCCTGCCTACTGCCAAGCGAGGTCCAGATCCATTGCAGGATCCAGGGGCCAGTGCCTGGGCATATCGCCTTTACACTGTCAGTGTGGATGCAAGTTCACCAATGTCAGAAGTGGTCGAGAACCTTGACTCTAAACAAAACCTGTCCTAGAGCTTTTCGTTCCCTTCCATTCACACCGGCCAACGCAACGCGTCTTCCGTTCACATCCATGACCGGACCCCATGCCTGCCGCACCACCGGCGTCACCACCGGCGGCACCACCGGTGTCACCGCACGGTGCCGGAGTTCTTGAGCCGCCAACATCAGCAGCCGCCGGTGGCCGAACCTCGAAACCGAGCGGTGCTGAGACCAGAAGGGAGGCTAGGCCGTCGTGCTGAGCGGTGCTGAGCGACATGAAGTCCGTGAACAGAGCGGTGCCATGGGCAACGTCTTTCTTGACTTGCTGTGTCCAACGCAGCTATGAGGCCCGGGCGCAACGATGAGGCCAATGAGGCGGGACGAATGCAACAAACAGAGTGACTTGCCAGGCAAAGAAAACTGGAGAAAGCTACTTACTGAACAGCAAAGTGGGCAGCAGATGTGGGCAGCAAATGGCAGCTGCTCACATGGGCACAGGTCAAATTCGCAGCCCAAGAGAAAATCAAGCCAATGACTTCACAGTTGCATGGGTCTTTGTTTGTGATCTTCAGCAAACTCGAGAAGCTGAGATTGAAATGGTCCGGATAGTCCAAACATAGCTCTTCACCCACCTTCTGAGCATCTATTTGGCCAATACCCGCGTGAACAGGTGACAGGAATCCTGTGATGGATGATGAATCCCTCAGAGTCGAACGAAAGGACTGAGCCGGTCGCGCGGCGACCAAGCCCCCCGACTTCGGCACAGGGAGTTCCTGCAGGTCCCGCTCGCTCAAGCTGAGCCTTGGAGCAGCGCGCAGGAATCCACGTGAAGACCGTGGGTCCGCCATGTCCGAAAAGGGGTGAGCTTTTGGCCTCACAAGAGTCACAAAAGGATAGAGCATCGATCACCACATTCTGAATCGAGATTGGAAGTCGATGTATTTCGGGGTGGGTAGGAAGGGTTTACCAAACGATTTGATCGATTCATGGCTGTGGAAGGGAACAGATTGGCATTTGTAGAGGCGATGAATCTGCTTTGTCGCAGTCCTCAGTCATCGTATCATCTACATAACGTATGTATACATATATACAGAGAGAGAGAGAGAGAAAGAGATACACACATTACATGTTACTGGTATTTGCAATGTTATTGAATTACTTTCCTTGATATGTTCAACCTTGGTTTGAAGATTGTTGAAGATGTTGTTTTGTAATTGTCAGGGGTTACCTTCCATTTATTTATGATTTATGTATATATATATATATATATATCCATAATGCATGGATATAAGAATCACACAATGTGACAGAAAGATCGGAAAGAATGTCAAAGGAGCATCAAGCAAGAATGCATTCTTGGGATGAGGAATGCATTCCCGATAGAACCCAAAATCAAGAACCAAGATTCTCCCAGGACTCTTTCGGGAATCTTGTTTATTGGTTCCAGTCCATTGCTACCTGAAAGATATCAACAAAAACCAAGATTCTCCCAAGAGTCCTGACAAAATCTTGGTTCTTTGGATGGTCGTGCATTCTCCGGCATGGACACATCTGATGGACACAAAAACGAAGCATCCTCCTCCGGGATTCTCCAACTTGGACACGCAAAACGTGCCATGTAGAGCAGCAACATGTAGGTAGCAACTCAGAAACCGAACGCCGCTGACTTTGTGCATGTTCTCTTGGCTTCTGTGCACTTCGCCGCGTAGCCTGCCATTACCAGCATGAGTACTGGCATCGCAATACTGATTTCTAGCTTGCCTCTGGCACAATCTGTGCCTCGCACATGGCCAAAATAATGAACTAATTTTGCACGGGGGAGCAAGTGCAAAAGTCGACGTGGCTGCCACACTTACGCTCATCGTCATCAATCATCAACTCAACCACATTAACCACAAGTGCATAGTATTCAAAACTGATGTGCTTATCCAGGCATCTCTGAACGTCTTCTTGTGCGTTGCAGCTTCATCTGTCAAACTCCAGCATCTACTTTCAATCCGTTAACTACATGTCTGTCCTGTGCTTCTCGTACACATAGCAATACAAATCATCCATGTCTCATGAGCGTGAGCGTGAGGGTCTGCATTTTCCCAATCTATCTGCTATAACTTGGTGAGCTGTCAATGGTGCCCTCTAAGAAAGTTTGAAGGGCGGATGTGACGACAGTACCATCTCGATCGATTTGAAGGCAACGACACTGAGGCGGCGGATACAATCAAACGGGCTTGACGCCTACTTGGAACAACCACTTGGACTTGTCATGTCCATGGTGATAGGCCACTTGCAGGGCTTGAGGAAAAAGATGGAAAAAGCAATCGGAGCCCATGCTGGTGAAGTCTTTCTTAGCACCAAACCTGGTGGGAAGGTCTCAAGATGGGCTCATCCCCTGGAGAAAAAGAATCGAACATTGAACATGGGGTCTCAAAGGGTTTTCCTCTTTTTCCCTCCTAGGAATCAGTGGGAGAAGGTCCGAGGACCTAGGAGATAAAACTAGGAGACCTTGGTTGACCTACATGGTGCTGGGGGTTTTAACCCATCCGGATCCCAAAACCGTGCTTTGGTGGTCTTGCAAGGCCTCGTGGTCCAAAAAGTGGAAACTGCCCAGCCCAGTCGTCTCACCTGGGGCGCTTTGGCACACACACCCCTCACCCGGCACCGCACGGCATGGGCCAAACCAAAGGCCCGCACCCCGGGCCGGGCGGAATTCTCGCTTAGAGTTCCTTCAGCCAAGTATCAAGACCTTCCCAGTAATGGCCTGCTCCCTCACCAGGCTCACCAAGTCCTCCACACAGACTGGCTCTGTCTCCGCCACATCGGTGTCCGGAACACTGGTTAAGTTCCGCTCAGACCACCGAGTCCACCCAAAGTCTCCTGAGGCGCTTGGAAGACCTCCAAAAGCCACCGGCACACCTCCGCCTCCTGCCACTCCTTCCGTGCACTCGACACAACCCGTGCGTGGGACGAACGCCTGGCGCCGGCGCGGAGCGAGTTCTTGCAACGTGGCTCTGGAAGGATCGAATCGATTTTTAGGCTCTAACCTAACGATCTCTGTAAATCCAAAACACTTCTCCCCCCCCGTAGCTGTTGTCTTCTAAGCTACTTGCTGGTGTCTTCTCCATCTCCAACGGCGGCAGCTGAAAACGCGGCTCGGGACCGTCGTCGACCGGAGCGAAGGCGTCGTCGGTTCGACCCAACGAAAAGCCCATGCCAACCACGACCTGGGTGTGTGAACCCTTCCCATTCAACAGGGGAGAAAAGTGGTTGGAGGCCAAGGTGGGAGGCGCGTCCCTGGTCGATTTCATGCCATATCTACACTCAATCCGTCACTCCCACTGACGTGGACTTCTCCATTGATCGTGCTCTCCTGCACTGGTCGAGGCAACTGGCCGACCTTAGGAGCGTGGAGGTTCACAAGGAAAGCGGCGCAAGCAATTGAGTTGGGTATGGTTTTGAACACTTGGAATTCTACTACTATTAATTTAATTAGAACCAAATTGAGTTGGGTATGGTTTTCAGGAACACTTGGCTCAGGCCTTAGGCACATCTGTGGAATATCATTGGGCACTGTAACTTCTGTGATTGGGTATGAAGAACATATGTTCATTTGGCGGCAGGCAAAAATACATGCCCCGAAAAGTAAATATACCTCGCGCAGTGTTTGACTTTTACGGACATCCTGTATGCTCCTTTGAGTCGCCCTGGTCGGATGATGACTTTTGCAACGAAAACCAGAGGCCGCCGTTCACCCGCTGGGCATCTCATGTGGTTGACCATCGTCACCAGTCTCAAGGATGAGTCCTTTCTCTCAACAATGCAGAAAAATGGAAGCGAACGAGCAAAACCACGGTGCGCTGGTCAGGAGGGAAAAAGAATGACTTAAAGAGTATATACAAGTATATACACTCTTTCAGTATCTTTCAGCTCTTGTTTGTGTTCCACCAACCTGACCAACCTCACTTGAAGCTCGGTGTTGGGTGATGTTTGGCCCGCCAGCTTCCACCCCGGAGCGCAGAAAAGGGCGCCCATGCAGGAACCCAAGCTGGCGCCCTGGCAGGAAGTGTCTTCATGCAGAAGGACACCCGACTGAAGTGTCTTTGCTTTCATCCATATGATCAACGGGTCCCGACATCCCGAGCCTTGGCCTTCTTGGTGGGTTCTTCGGACCCGAGCGAGACGCGGTGTTTCCAAACCGAAAGAGACGCGGTGCCCTTGGTGCGGATGAAATCGAATTGTGAATCCAATCCGTTCAAGGCACCAATTGAGACCGTTTAGGTCCTAACAACCCTCGAACCAGGCCTGGCAGTGAGTGTCCTGGTATAAGTATCTTCCCTGGAATCATCCCGGAAGAGGAAAACCACTGGTGTATCAAGGAGAATGGTCATCCTTTTGGGGCCATGCCATCCACTTCCCTGATGATTCCAGAGAGTGTATAGTATACTGCTCTTCCCCAACTTGCCGTGCCTCGTCTTCTCACTTCGTGCGTTGGGAACGCTGCTGGAGCGGCTGGGCGCTCCACTCGCTCCGTTTGCTCCGCTCCAGGGCGGCCTGAAGAAACAGATCTTGGCAGGTCAAGAACCTTCGGGTTGAAAACCGGGTTACAAAGCCCAAAGAGCCAAGTCCGGGGGAACAGGTAAAAAAACTAGCGTTCTGGCGTTCTGTGCATGTGATGTCTGATGTGTTCTCGTGATGGATCTCCGGTCATGTCTTCCATCCAACGAAACAGCCACTTGTTTACTCAAACCACTGGCCTGGCATAATGGTGATGGCCAAAAGGATTCTGGGAGGATAGAGGGGAGCAAACCACTTGAACTTCCAGCGTCTTGAACCCTTCTTTGTATATAAAAAAGTACATATATATATATTGTCTGATAGTGCAGTGAACTCAGAAAAGCCAGAAGAGCTCAACATCTCACGAAACCTGAACCTCGCTTGTGCCAACTGAAAAACATGTTCCCTATTGAAGGGAAAAAATTTCCAACGACCAAAACTTTCAAGTTAGACCCTCGTTTTCCGCACTCCTTCGCTTGGTCGACGCATGGCTGGCCTGGCACCCAACGGCAGCACGGTGCCGAACAGCTGGTAGGGCCTCGGGTCTTGAGCGGACAACAGAAGCAGCGACAAAGAAAATCCATGTTTTGAAGAGGAACATGAAAACCAAGAAGATCCTACCAGTCTACTACCCAACCGCTCCAAACAGTCCTTGGTCTCTCAAAACCTAGGGACTTGAGACCCCAGACCCCTCCAAAGGCGGGTCCAGGGTAGCGTCTGGGTAGTGCATTTGACCGCACTCGTGGTTGGCAAAAAGGTTTCCCAACTTGGAGAGGAAAAAAAGGAAAACACATTTGCCCTTCTTCTGGAGCGCCAAAAACTGGTACTGGTGGAATCCTCGACCCACTCTTATGGAAATGCGTACTGACTCGAACGCCGCTCGCCCTAGGTTGCCAAAGTCCTGAAGAGATCAGGAGAGGCCCGACGGAACCTAGGGGTCTTCAGAAGGAAGTAAGAAGCTCAAGGCGAGAGAGAAACGACAAATGAAGGCGTAACGTGCATGTCTGCCGAACAACGTTAAAAGTTCATGCAAGTACGTCAGCAAGCGTCCTTGCTGATATCAGCACAACCTGAAGAGCCTCTTTGTTAGATGCCCTCTCTTCAGCTGTGGGGCATCCCCCTGGAACCTTGTGACTCCAAAGGTTACACACACACACACACACACGCCCCCCCGAGGGGAGGCGAGAAGCCCTAAGGCCAGGGCAAAGTGTAAGTGCGCACGCAACAAGACAAAAGAATGATGACGTGAAAAAGGGGCCAGGCGGGACAAAGGTGTGCGTGGTTGCGATGAAAGGGAACCAAGCGCACAGGGACAACCAATGAAAACCCTCCTAATTATAAAGACCTGGGCGACCTGAATCCTAGGTTGAAGTAGGTTGTGCACGTACACACTAAGGCCAGGACCCATGTGCGTGCAAACGAAAGAAAGGATGAGAAGACCCGACGGGTCCACAGGGGGCACTCTGCGGGCTCACCCTGGGCTCTCACGAGGAGAGACACACGAAGTGCATACTGACTCGAATGCCGCTCGCCACACGGCAACCTAAGAAAACCAGAGTCCTGAACAACCAGGTAAGGAGGCCTGCGCACCTGTAGTTAAAGGCCAACGTTCCAACTCCACGAGACGACGAACAGGTCGAAGTGACGGCGATCGCTCTTGTCTGCAGCGTGCACTAGCCCTTTAAAGAAAACGAGGGTAACAGCTTGTAAACATCACAACCAAGCAGGTGCGTGATCCCAGCGTCCCAGGATCATATCAGCCATGGAACGCAGCCCTCTTCGTTGGACAGCCAACTGCATCCATGGGGTTGTCCCCCTGCAACTAAATTGGACAAACCAACGAGACAATCCAAATGGATCCCTGTGATTCCAAGGGTTACACACACACGAAACAAACGCTTCCTCATAGCGCCAACACAAACCCTGCCACCGGGTGGGTTCCAGTTGGTAGATTCAAGACAGTGAAAGATTCTTGGCATGCGCACAAACAAATCATGGAATTTGATGATTATGAATTGCCTCAAGCAACACAGTAGACTGTGCCAATTCAAATTCAAGTAGGGATGCCAGACGGTGTCGAGGTCCATTTTCTTACTTAGACGATGTCCAGATTCCTTTATACTAGTAGGTTTGAAGACAGCCAAACCATACATTGGTGGTTTTGGCCACCGCTCAACAGGGGTTGAAAAGTCAGCTTTATATAAATCTATCATCACCACATCCCACTAAAGACAACCAGTAAATTCTCCACAAAAATCACCAGGTCGCGCCCCACGCTGCCAAGACTCTGTGGGCATCCCACTGCTCTGGGGCGTAGCACCACCTCCTGCAACAAAAGGCAGGGTTCTCCGCAGTCAAGGGAGGGAGTACTCAACAGGTGTTTTTGCAGATCTCTGCGTCCTGAGACGACTGGGATGTCTCCAGTCTTTGACTGCAGGGATCTCAAGGGATAGAGGCTTTATTCCTGCGTGTACTCAATGTTGCATCTGGGACTCCAAGGGAGCTAGGTGGGGCTTCAAATCAGGTATGTTGCATCTGGGACTCCAAGGGAGCTAGGTTGTTGGGGTTTCAAATCAGGTAGGTGTTAATCTACAATCCATGTGAGTGTCTTCTCAAAGAAGTCAAGGCATCAACAAAAGAAACTATCCTCTTTGCGACTTGCTGTTCAAAAAATGGACACAAAATACCCCTATTGTCCCTTTGTTCGATTGGGATGTCCTTCCTTTAAGAGAACGATCTTCCGCTCGAAAAGCGTGGCAGTGTCATGGCCGCTCTGTCGGCTTTCAACTTCGAAAATGTCTTTCTTCGGGGCTTCCCAACGTCCTGCACGCGGGGCTCCATGTAACGAGCCATTGGCTCGATGGGTCGCATGGTCTTCAGGCGCTCGACCATCCTCAATGACGGATTCGACCAGCCGGAGGGCGACGGCTATGTAAAAGCACTTCTTCATGAAGAGTGATTTGCGTGTGTGTGTGTGTGTGTGAGTCAAGACCTCCCCACCAACAAAAGGTTGACATCAGAATCTGTTCATGTTCGGTGGTCAAACAGAGTCCCCCCTGTTTTTGTGGAGCGCGGGGACGTAAAGACGCACTGGACTCGATCTTCCACCATCACAGATCTGCCAATGGCCTTTCGTTCTCATGCATCTCTTGCAGAAATACTGCTAGCTTGGGCATCCAAATTGCACACATGGGAGGGTGGGAGGGTCGGGTTTTCCGGGCAAACGACCCACTGAGCACCTGGCTCACTGCTTGCCTGGCAGACCGGTCCGAGCGGTGGACCGTCGGGTCAAGTTCCGTGGCAGCAACGTCTTTTGATGTCAAAATGGGTGGACAAGCTCACACCAAGGGGTCAACAACCATCTTTGCACATGAAACTACACTTGCTACCTGAATCCATCGTCTTGTGTTCATTCCATATTGTTCATGTAAACCACCTTCAACTCATGAAACTGTGGCCCATGCCATCTCGAAAAGAGGTTCCCTGCAAAAAGCATGCCTCCACACGGGTTGGCGGAGGGACCGCACCAGCACCTCTGTCGGATTCAAGGACTCTTCGGTCGGGGAAATGCAAAAGAGGGATGGTTGCGTCGACGATGTTTGGCACATGCGAGAAATCGTATCCCGTGATTATATAAAACATATATCCAGCTCTACCTATCCTTCTGTGAATCCACCAGCACCTTTCACATTCAATTCCACTGCAATAAAGTACCAAAGCAGCACCTGAGGATGCAAATGACATAACCTGGTGGTGCAGGTTAGAACAAGCGAACGCACAACCGTGTATAGGGACCGTGGGGAGGTATCTTTGGACCGAGCCCCTGAGCATCTGGCCCTTCGCGGGCTCGCAGGGTGCGCCTAGAGCAGCCTCAGGCGGCCACAGCCGCTACCACCAAAGCAAACCAAAAATGCTTTTAAATAGGTTTATAGTTTATATATATATATATATATTGAAATACCATTGCCAACCTGGACCTCATTCCACAAACATATGTTTTCTCTGCTCCTACCAAATCTTCTACCGGTTCCTTTGACCCTACAGAAAACAAAGCTCTGGGCAGCCTTGATGATGACGACGACGACGACGACGATGATCATGATGATGATCATGATCGTTGTCGGTGTCGTTGTCGTCTCAACAGTAGGCATCATCGGGGTCCTTCCACTACCACCACCACTCCTACCACCACCAAAGTAGTAGCGCTCATCGCCTTGGCAGTTCAAAAACACTTCCCTTCCCCTCATCGTGACCGCCTCAACATGGCGTTTTGCTCGGGAGTCCCCCGATCTCCACGCGAATTCGTTTGACTAGACTCGACATATTGAGATGCCTTTAAGTCTGCCCTATTTTTATTCAATTTTGGTGTGGTCTGTCCCACCCCGGGCAAGGTCTGCCCTCTTTT